GTGAACAATACTGACTTTACAGTCACTCCTCTTAAGGAAGCTGATCTCCTTGTCCCTTTCAGTTGCCTTTCTCTAACTTGCTGTATCCTTCTTCTGATGCAGAGACCAGAACCGTGCACACTATCCCAGATGTCGGTGCACCAAGCTGGAGCAGCACAATGGTGCCAGGTGACAGCAAAATGGTGTCATCTGTCTTCTTCTCACTACCTCTCTGAGGACAGTCACTATTTTCCTGGCTCTTTGGCTGCCATGGCACACCGAGCTTAGGTTTCCAGGGAATGCTCAGTGGTGACTCCAAGTGCTTTCTCTTGAGTGGTGGCTGTCAGTTCTGAGTTCAGCACCATATGAGCACAGTTTAGATTATTCTACCCAAGATACCATCCTACTTTGTGCACACTGAAGCTCATTGTGCCACCTGTCTGCCCCCTTCCCTTTTTTTGAAATTTCTTTTTGTCTTCTTTTTAACTTTTCAACCCAACTATTTCTGCAACTAAGAAATCTCCTAGGTGCTATAAGCATCAAGTCCCCTCAAAAGCCTTTGGTAGGGTACTTTTTTCTGATGCTTCCTGAAAATCCACATCAGCTGTATCTACAATACTGTGCAGCAATCCTCTGAAGATGTACTCAAACTCAGGCAGAACCAGTCCCTAACATACTAACACACAGCACAGACAGGCAAACACTTCTCTGAACAAAAAAAGTTGAAATTAAGACAGACAAGCATTCTACACAATCCATGGGAAAACCATACACCAGAGGCCTTCCCTGAAATGTGCTGCTGCCCTTTTTCTGCTACCATCCATTATTGATGGTCAGACACCAATAGGAGGTCTTGAGCACAATGAAGAATATAACCCCATCAACAAATGTTGCAGGATTTATGTCTTTGACTTTATGTCATAAAATTCAGCTGATGTAGCTGCACTACTTGGATGTGAGAAATCTGCCGAGTGACAAAACTGGTGTTTAAGCAGCTCTGTTCTACTCAGCCAATTGAAATTTTACTGAGGAGTAAAAGAAAGACGTGCCACTTGGAAAAGTGGTGTTGACACATGACTCAAAGCCAGAAGCTAAGTTCTGTAACAGGTACGGCTTCAGTGAGGTGCTGAGCAAGGTAAAACTTCTTTCCACATATTTATTAAGTATCACTTTAAATAGCAAAGCAAACCTCAACAAAACTGACCATTTCAGTATTTGTGCTCTTGACTTAGATGAAGACAGAATCACAATAAATACTGACAATTGAACTTTAGTGGAACAAGCCCATGCACCCAAGACATGCCTGTCGTCTACTCCAACAGCATTCTGTGGATGGTCTCTGCAGAAAGCTGAATGCATCAGGAACCATGTATCTCACATAACATGTATAAACCAATGCCTTCTAAAATATTTTATCTGCTTATTAATTGACCAGAACATCCACAGCTGAGATCATGTGGGAGGCAATCAACTGACAGACTGCTCAAAAGACAAGAGCAGCAGCCCCAAAATACCCATATCCAGCACACCCAAATTCCTAGAAAAGTCACTAGTAGTTCACTCCTTGGATGAGCAGGTATCTCGGGTCCTGGGCTGCAGATGAGGACTTCAAGGCCACACGTGTTCTGACATTAAGTACACGAGAATATGAAGTGGGATAATACAGCCAACTTAAAGCACTGCTTCAAATCCCTCGCTCTTCCGGATGAGACAACTCTAACTAAAGGATATAAATCTGCTGAGAGGAAATCTGTCACTGATTACAGATCAGAACAGATTTTTATAGTGCCCTCTTGCAGAGGCAAACTCACATTGCTCTGGTAAGAAGACAGATGTACATACTACACTTCACTCCTCAACTCAGTTTACTCTTCACATCTTCTCTTCAACTCAAAAAGAGAGCAATTAGGCAGCATAATTTTCTGACTGTCACCAACCCTACTATTTAGACTGGAAACACTACTAAAAATATTTTTCTTCTAAAAAACATATTTAACAAGTTCTTGCTAATAATCTATTTCACAAATGAACAAAAAAGGAAAACTGATCTATAGTCTACAGGTAACATTAAGCTTAGAACTCTGCTGCAGCAAACAAAATCATTATTTGAATATATCAGTCACATTCTATCTAAAAAGTGTTGGGCTTTTGCTCTTCCTTGACCTTTTGGAAGGCTGCTCTTGAACATCAGTGCTCTCTGATAGTTAGAAATCTTCATATATTAATTATCTTAAAATCTGTGTTAAATTACTCATGTATCAACATTAATTCTTTAGCTCAATTTATTCCCTTCTCAGTGTTTACCTTGATGGGTTTGATAAAGAGCAAAAAAGGCCTTTATTCAACAAAATTAAAAAAAATGCTTCTTCCAACAGACTCTTAATTTCCCTACCTGTCCAAGGCACATCTTCCTGCACCTGTTACACTTTACTTTTTTACCTGAGAATGATTAACATTATACAAAGTATTCTAGAGTTTTGTTCACGGGCAATAATTACTTCTTTTACTGGATCACTGTAGTCAGCATCTACTTTTTCCACATTGCATATCTTGTAACTACCTAACAAATACTTTGGTTTTGTGTTGCTTTCAACCGGTAAGAATTTCTTCTGTATGTTGTTTCCTTACAAGGTTACAACTGTAAACCCTCGTTCTTTAAATTGCAACAGTACTTATTTCATATTCTAGTTCTCAGGATCACTCCATTCTTTCTGTGTAGTCCCATAACTCTCTTCTATATTGCCAGTGCTTCCCAATTCTTCATCATTACCAAATGAAGACAGTAAAGTTTTAATTGCTACCTCAAGATCTCTATGAATTATTTAATAAGATTGGTCTCAAGACAGATCTTCAAAGAACTAATTTTATACTCTTTGATACTCAGATTTGATGGATTTTCCATTCAACATTACTCACCGTAGTTTGTCTCCAGTTACTTCCCCATCCTCTTTACCACTCGGGTGTTAGCCCTACCTTTTCAGCCCAGTAACAATGTGCAGCGGCCTTAGTGTCGTCTAGAAAAAACCGGGAACTACTCTATTTCCCTTAAAAACAGTAATTGCTTTATCAAAGGCAGTTTTGAGGACAGGTTGAAATACGTATTTTAGTTTCACTTACCTTCGTTGTTTTCACCTAGAAAGCGCGTTCCAAAGCCGCACACTTACCAGCGTCCTGTCAGGAGGGCGGACGCGTTCCCGCGCCCGTTCCCCTCCCTTCCCGTTCTAAAGGCTGGCACTGCTCCCGCTGTTCTCCCACCAAACCTCTTCCCACCAAACCGCATCACCGCGCCCCACCTCCACGGCTCCCGGGCCGGGCACTGCCCAGGGCCCGTCCCCGAGTCCCTACCCGGGCCTGGCACACCTCTGGGTTGGGCGAAAGCGCCCTGCCCTGCTCTCCCAGCCCCCGGCCCTGCCCTCCCGGCCCCGCTCCCGCCGTACCTGCCCGGGCTCTCTGGGCGCTCGGGGCCGGAACGGGCGGGCGGACGGGCCGGGGGGCGGAACGGGCGCCCTCTCCTGGGCGGAGGCCGCTGCTGCCGGGGGGGCCCCGCACCGTCCGTCCCTCACAGCGCAGCTCGGCCGAGCCAGGGGAGACGTGCCGGCCCGCTGGGAGGCAGGGAATCAGAAACAGTGCGGCCAGCAGCACCAGGACGGTGATCATCCTCATGTACCCGGCACCGGCGAGGCCGCACCTCGAGTCCCGTGTCCAGTTCTGGGCCCCTCACTGCAGGAAGGACACTGAGGTGCCGGAGTGGATCCAGAGAAGGGCAAGGGAGCTGGTGAAGGGTCTGGAGCACTAGTCTTCTGAGGAGCGGCTTAGGGAGCTGAGGGTGTGCAGCCTGGAGAGGAGGAGGCTCAGGAGTGACCTTATTGCTATCTACAACTCCCTGAAAGGAGGTCGTAGGTGAGCATCGGCCTCTTCTCCCAGATAACATGCAACAGCATCAGAGGACATGACCTCACACTGTGCCAGGGGAGGTATAGGTTGGACATTCTTAACAGAATCGGTGATTAGACATTGGAATGAGCTGCCCAGGGACGTGATGGAGTTACTGTCCCTGAAGATGTTTAAGGAAAGACTGGACGTGGCACTTTGTGCTATAGTTTATTTGACATGGTGGTGTTCGGTGACAGGTTGGACTCGATCTCAGAGGTCTTTTCCAACCTAATTGACTCTGTAATTTTGATGCTTCTGTGTATGCTATCCCCATAACACCACAAAAATCAGCAAGATAAAATTTCAGGTAAAAGTACAGTTCTTCTGCCCCCACATCATTTCAGCACTTATACTCCGTGAGTATAAGTAAATGGGGGGTGGAGGGGGTTGAAGTTATTTGACTTCCCTGTTCCTGTTCTCACACATTATCCTGGCTTTCATAATGAGGACAGTAAGAGGAATCAATCCTTAAAGCCTGGTCTGGAGTGTCATGGTTTAGGCAATTTAGTCTTCTTGCAGTAGCAAGCAAGTTACTGCTGTGGTTAAGGGTGTGCCTGCCTTTAGCCACCATGTTGGGTATCTGCTTGCCCAGGGCTATCAATATGAATCAGTTCACTTTCTGTTGCAGTTACTTACATGCCCTCCTCACTGCTGTGACAGAGAACACATTCACACATTTATTCTCTCAATAAGGGCACCACAACAGTCTGTTCAGTTTGGAAGGATCAGAGGAAATGTGTGCCTTTCCCAGACGATACCTAGGTGGAAATAGCCTGCTCAGTCACCACACTAATTACACAGTTACAGAAACATTATAAACTGATATGTTTATAGTATATCTTACATATTATAACTTTTCCCTCTGCTAAAATCTTAGCACCTTTTCTAGATAGCCCTCCCTTTTCTGCCCCAACAGTGTCTGGGGGAAAAAAATCCAAAAAACCATGTATGCAAGACACCTCCAGATTCTCAGCACCCATTCAAACTGGCTCACTAGAGTTATAAGTACTCTAAAGTACAGTGCACAGGTGAGGAATTACACTGAAGGGGTTTTTTTTTGGGGGGGTGGGGGTGGGTGGATTGCCTTTTAATTCAATTCTTCAGCAAGGGGTTTATTATTTCCAGACAACTCATTTTGAAAGACAGTATCTAAAATAAATTATCACAGGTCTTCTTCTCTTATTTTCCCAAATACACAGTCTCCTTCATTTGATCTAACCAAACATCTTTTCCTTGATATAAAACCCAAATGAACTACCTACAGTGAAACAAATAAACAGTTAGAAGAGTATATGCATGTCAATAATTATGGATAGATACAAACACAAGCTAGAAAATCTCACTGTTCAGGTGATCTCTGAGATATTTCAGGTTGATCTCTTTGAGGTATTTCAGAGACAACTAATTTTTTTCTTCTGCTGGGACAGGACACAAGAGCAGTTGTTGCTACCCTAAGGCTTATTGGAATGTACTAGATAGGGTGCGGATGGAGCAGCAGTTCCAAATATGCCAACATCCACGTTATTTGGCATTGTGGTGGCCACAAGGACATATGTATAGGAACTTTAGTTGCCTACTAGGCCTTCTGAATTAGATTGCGTACTGTTAATCACACATTCTTAACTTTAAGCATAACAACTGCATTAGTGTTTCCTTTCAATTCTACTTTTCCTAAAAGTTACCATGTACTGTTTGAGTCTTCCTAATACCGTATTACCCAGCAGGTATAAGCAGACAAACTACACAGTTCCACTGCATGTATCTGCAGTTTTCTGTTTTATAAGGAAAACTTGTAGCACAGGTTTTTCTTCTTGATACATGTTTGCAAAGTAAATGTCCTGAAAAACCCTGCTGAAAGTGTCTGTGGTGAAGCTATGGCAACCGTGCTGCAATAACTAACAGCAAGAAAACTGAAACCAAGTTTTGCATGCATTATCTCTGTATGAGTTATTTCATGCCTTTTTCAAGATTTCTAAAAGACACAACAGCAGAATTGCCTAGATGTGGGCACATTCTGCATCACAGCCTCACTATTTGCGAACTCCACCTTCTGTTTCTTCATTTTCCCACTAAATCTTACTGCTGCACTAGGTTGTCTATTCAGACAAAAATTTTCAGATTGTTATGCTGATCCAGTAGTATCAGTGTACTCCTGTAGGATTACAAAGAAAATAAAAGTTAAGCTTTTCTTCTCATGAGTCAGCAGAAAATATTTGGTATAAGTTTTGAGAGTCTTTGGACAGCATCAGTTAAACTTTCTGCCAACTCAGAGCAAAGGCTTATAAGACTCTTGTAGATGCTAATGGCAAAATTATAACAACTCAACTCAAAAACACTTTTTAAAATGAGAATGTACAAAAGAAACTTAATACGTTTTTCAAGCATCTTGCAAAGAAAAAGAGGAATAGCAAAGCAAAATCTTACGAATCCTAATACTGCAATCACAGCATTTAGAATTTAGTTAAGCCTGGTTTAAGATTTTATATTAATTCTCTAATAACACAGCTTGGTGCACAAAGACCTAAACCACTTCAAATTTGCTGTATAAAATGAGGGATAGCATTCCATACTATCACTGTTTAACACAACAGCAGACCTTGACTTACTTTAACACCTCCTTCTTAATTCTTAACTGTAATTTTCTTAGTTCACTGAGTTTTGCATCAGCAGCCAGACATGGCTGATAAGATCAGTGGTTTTATGTTTCCCTGCCAAGGCTGTTTTTCTCACAAAAAAAATATTTCAAGTATGTTCAGGTCAGAGCAATTGCCTCAAGGCCAGCGTATTGTGCAACTTAGTCCTTGCTAAAGTTTCACCTTAGTGAAAATGCATCCTTCAGTCTCCATCCCAGATGCAAGTCTAGTCAGAAAATGTTGTCTCCCTTAAGACACTTGCAAGTCATTTGTGGGTGCTGAAGGCCACACGGAACCTCCAGCAGCGACAAGTGCAGAGCACTTCAAAGAAAGGGGCAGGAGAACCCAGCCCAAATGTTAATTCATTTGCTTATTGAAGAGAAGTTGGTGACTGGTTTTATGGTTTCTGAGTATACAGCAACATCACTTTTTTTTCTGAATTCAGATTAAATTTGGGGTTTCTCTTTTAGAAATATTTCTCCTTTGGCCAATCACACACTGTAATAGAAGTATTTACTTTAATTCACTTTACATTATTGCCTTTCATTCAGCAAATTACTTGAAAAAGCAACATCTTCCAGTCATTTAGCTATTCAAGAACTATTAGCAATGAATACAGACACCAGCAAATGAACTTGGAATTGCAACTTTTATGTGATAGGAATGTCTATGTATGGATGTGTAACATATTAAATTTTGCAAATGGCTGCAATTCCCAACTAGAGGGAAAAATAAACACATAAAAAATTCTAGTGTATAATATAAAAACAAGTCTGTAAAACACACCAGCAGCTGCATGTGGATATATACACTTGATCTCTGTATATATTCTGCCTTTCTGCAAATTTCAAATATGTCATTCAGAAACACTTGGAATAAGAAATAAAATTAAACAAGTTGTTGTTAAACCCATCAAGCTAAAATAGAAGTTTTATTTAGACATGTTTCTTGCTCTCTTTTTCCTTCCAAAATTTAAATTTAGCTCCTTTTTCCACTCAAGGAAGTTCTCATTAAGTTTTTTAGGAGTTTCCCTAACCAGAACAACATATGTTGGCCTAAACAAGAGTAGCAAGCAAGAACACACTGTATTTACATTTTGGAGACAATTTCTCACTCGCTAACCTGCTTTTGTTGGATGCTGAATTTCTTATTTCTTTTTTTTCATTGATTCAGGCATCTTGATCTGCTGAATAGATTGACAAATGTAAAATTAGAATAAGCTGAAATGCTACCCCAAGTACTGTCACAAAATATGCTGAGCAAATCAGCATTCAGTCACACCCAGAAGCAACAGTGCAGGAAATGAGCTGGGCCTAGAAGATCACACATTGTCCTTTCCTTTTTTCTCTTCAGAAGTTTTCAGTTGGCAGATAAAATCTCTAGATATCACAAGATTAAACAAAGACATTACTAACACTGGGAATTATTTTAAAAAATAACAAGTATCTAAACATATATTTCCATCCTGAAAGGCCCACCCGAAAGGCAGAAATATCTTAGCTACAAATCAGATTTTCACTTTATTAACACTTCTATTTAAAACAGTTTCCCTGTGTGAACATCACGGATTTCAGTTTGGTCTAACATTGCAACAGATGGAGCAAGTAAGTGAAGTGGGGGGAAAGTGAAAGACAGAAATGGATACAACAAGGTGGCGCAGAACACACAAAAAATTGCACCATCATCTTCAATAAAAATTAAAGTAAAGGAGAGAGAATGTAAAACATATTATTAAAACTGTGATGAGAAACTGTCTTTGACATTCAGTAAAACTGAGAAAAGATCTGCTTTTTAGTCAATTAATTCCGTACTGAAATTTTGGAACACGCAAGATACTTTTCCTCAGTGGTTCTTCCCTAGCACAGTTGTAAGAGTGATAGAGTAGCAGGCTGATTTCTTTTTAAATACAGATTCCTATACCAACATACTCACATGCTTACTGTTTCTTGGCCTTTGGCTGCCTTCATCATCTGTTCTGATACCATTTTCTTCAAGCAGCTACTGAGTGCAAAGGGCTGAAGAGGATAAAAGATGTAGTTGACTCTTCAATTCCTTCTCCACCAGAAAATTCAATAGTTCCTAACTATTGAACTATCACTTCTCTGATACAGTTAATTTTACTCTGTACTTGACAATGCACCAAACAAGTTGCAGTTTCTTATGGCCCAGCCACAGCATGACTGGGCCATGCTGAGATTACATTTTACTCTGATGCTTTCCTAAGAGGATTGAGAACTAACCTGTTTTGTGTACAAAATTATCCACTGCCATGTGCCTGAGTCATTGTACTCAAATCTAGGCTTCAGTGTGTCTTCTTTGCTATCCTTTGTAGCACTCTGGAAAAACAAATAAACAGAAAAAAACAAACAAAAAACCCCCCAGCCAATGAGCAGAAAAAGCAGCTAAAAACGGCATTAAGGTGTTCAGCCTTAAATCATAAGTCAATTAGGTTCATTCCATACAGTATATATATGAAACAACTGAAAGTCTGTAGCAGAGCACTTCCCCTATGGGAGGAAACAGGTGGGGGGTAGGAAGGGGGAGTCTTTGCAAGCATAAAGTTGGCTAAAGCAGTTCTTTTGCTCCCTCACAAAACTGTCAACTCTACCTCCAACAAGAAAGGAAAGGGGCAGGTAGAGTATGACATGGAATCCTAGGGAAGGGAGAAAACAGCAGAGTAAGGCTAGATGTTTTGCTGTTGTAGAGGATGCCAAGGGAATATGTTTCAGAATAGGCTGGGAGGGGGATATAGACAAGTGGAAGGGATTTAAAGCAGATCACCCTTTTCTCCCCAGACCTTCCCTTTCAACCTTAGTTTTGATGGAGGGAATTCAGATAAAAAGTCAGTAAAGTACTTACACAAAAAGTAACCTGCCAGCTTCTTAACCTGTTGATTTTAAAACTAACCTCTTTGATTTGGTGAGTAGACAGTGTTATGCAGCAGTTAATCTTATCCTTGCCGACATGGATGTCACCTGAGCAGCCTTCTTCTGGATAGTCACAAATACAAGGATCAAGCTGTATGTATCCACAGAACTGTATTTCTCAAATCTGCTCCAGGAACTGCACCAAAAATACAGAACTAATGTAATTTGCTGTAAAGGCAAGTAAGTCTAGAAATTTGGAAAAAAAGAAAAATACTTCCAACAAAAAAAGATAATAAAAAAGGCTGTAAGTCAAATCTTTGAAGTTCCTAATACTCTTTCTTCTGGAAAGACAGATTCACCACAATATGTCAGTGCTTGATTCAGAGAATAGTATTCATAGTCAAGAGTTAGAAATTGGATTTATATTTTTTTTACAGGATACGATGAGCTGGATCTTTTGGATGCTTATCAGATATGATGATAGGAAGAGATAAAATTAACAGGTAAGTAATACTGTGAACAGCAGTCCCAGCAGTCTGAATTCTCATCTGATTGCCTAAACTGGATGACGAACTTAAGTATCTAAGCTTTGCAAATAGAGAAAAGTAGCGCTCAGTCCAAAACTTCTTGACAGCCCTTGTGATCAAATTCATCCTGTTGGTATTTTTAAAAAAACACTAGTAGAGGTGGGAACCTCCTTTTCTATTTGGTGGTTCCGTTTCTGGCCAGGAGATGGGACACCTGGATCTCTAACTCAAACCACTCCACAAAACCATGGTCTGTTTTTGAAGTCAGAGCCCCTAGTATAATTCTTAAATTCTTAAAAAAAAACAAAACCCCAAAACACTCCTTTGATCTGTTTGAACTGTTTTTAAAAACACCTTTACTTTGTTTGCATTTTTTTGTGGAAATTCAAGTTCCTACATCTGCTCTTCTGTGGGTTTAACCCAATTCCTCTCAACTTCCTGGATTGCCTTAGAAGAATTTTTAAAAATAGCAAAGAAAGTCAGCAAAAACTTATTTCCCTTCACACAAGCATTCAAAAACACACGCACATAGAAATGGAAAGCTTGTGGTTTGTTTTGGTTTTTTAAACAAAGCCTTTGATTTTAGGGCAAGTTCATTCTGCATGGTTCTTTCCTCAGGAATTAATAGTTTCCAAAGCCAGTATAACTCAACATACCTACAGTTCAGAAACCAACTGCTCTCATATCATGGCAGAGTGCCTACATGTTACAAACATACATATACATATATCCCCTTGTAAATAAAGTAGATAGTTACCTAAGTATGTCCTTTTGGTGCAATATTTTTCCCATGCACAAAACATAGGTGAGTTAGAATCTCTGGCACTTGGAGAAGCACCACAAAGCAGTGCCAACAGCAGGAACCATCTACAGATATGTCAAGAATTTGTATAAAAGATCAATTCAGTGTGGGAAAGGTAACCTTTAAAATTATAAAGTCCTTTCAGTTTTACCTGCATATATAGCAAGTTCAGTGAAGCTCTACAGTCCATAAGCAGTATATCAAGAGAAGGATCCACATACCTTTTTCAAGCAAGGGAAAAAAGTAATAAAACATGAAGAAATGCTTCTGAACATGGTGGTTTGATTTTTTTCAGCTAAATAAAGTGGGAACACAACCCAGAAAGGTCCCATTATTTAGCAGATTAAAAAACTCCACAACAAATCAAAAAACAGTTATGCTCTTGGAGTATGTACTGTATTCACTCTTTATACGTTGTAGCAGAAAGGAAATAAAGTGGAGTCAGGTTATCCAGTCTCTACACTTTGATTTTGGTGGTACCAAACATGAAAGTTACAATTCAGAACTAAAACTTTCCTCTTCCTTTTCTCAAACAGTTTTGTGATTCTGGACACAGTAGTTGGTAGGCTCTCAGAGCATCCACTGCCATGTGCCGCAGTGGATCTTGCCCTGCAAGATCTAGCCTCAAGCTTGCTAGCTGCAGTACCAGCTTCTGTGGAATTGCTGCAGGTTGAGATCAGTGCAGCAACACAGCAAGTTAAATATTCAGTTATCCAGTTACCATGTTGCAGCTTGAGCCATTTGATTTGAAGCAGCTTAGGCAAGTCTCCAGGACAGTATGACCAGAGAAGTGAAGGCTCTGAGGCCAGTATCACTCCATGGATTTATCACCCTGCACAGGGGTCACATGTCCTGTAACACACAGATTTCCTACCTCTGGGCTTGAAGCACTGCTAGATGGAGAATTACCTACTCAGACATAGCCACTTTGCCACAGCTTAGAACCACACAGTTCTTTCATTGGACTGCTGAGTTCTGCAGTTTATAAGGGCACATACAGGGAAACAGAGAAAGCTTTGTAGACGCCAAGCTCTGATGCAGTAGGTTTAAACCAGACAAGTTACCAACATCAAACAACAGTTTTCTGTTTACCACCAAGCCAAGCAATCTTGTTTGCTGCCACCAAAAAGCCATGGTATTTTCTTCCTCTTCTGCTCCATTCGTTCATCTGATGCAACCAATACAACTCACTGAGCAAGCAAAAATCCATAGTTTTTTTGCTTTTTTCATTGTAGGGAGAAGTAGAGCAGAGCACAACTGCAGCAGTGAGCCATTAGGCTGACCCGGCTGTTCTGCCTAACTGTACCCTCAGGGCACTCTGACAAATGGGACTTTGGCACCAGAATCCCAGTCCCCAGGGTTTATCCTCACCCACAACTCAGCACCATCATTTGCTGCACAGCAAACAGGACTGGGGTGCTGACTCGGGCCAAAAATAGGCCATCAAAATCAAATAAAAAATAAACAGCCAGCAACTTACTTTTAGGCCAGGTTATCTTGCCAGTCCAGTTCACCACTCTCTGCCCACACAGTTCCACCAACATAACTGAGGAGTAGCCCAAGGCATGAGCAAATGAAAGGGCAAAAGCCCTCTACTGTTTAAGCCAGGTCACTTACCAAAATAAATGCTCAAGCTATGGCCTCAGGTATTATGTGTATTAGTGTATAGAAATGAGCACTTCAGATAAAAAGTAATCCATCTCTGCCCAGAGGGTCAGCTTGCAACTCAGAACTCAAAGTTCTCTTCTATGTTGTTTACAGGTGTATTCCTGTTTCTGGTCACTGAATTATGCAGGTATAAAAATTAGGAGGCAAGCAGTTCAAAACATCTCTCTATAGATTCTGAAAGAGAGAGGGAGGAAATAGCTAGCTACAGTAAAGAACCCTTCAGGAATACTACAGTGATAAAATTTAAAACATGCAGGGCCACAGAAACCAGTCAATTCCAATTAACAATTGGCCTCAGAAAAAGAACAGTCAAGCTGCTGAAGCCTGAAGATTTTGTAACTAAGTTATTCAAGGGATTTATTTCTCTGCTCACAGTAGTTGTCATGCATTTTAGTAGTTTCCCTTAAGCTTCTTGCTCACCGCTTTCTGATCTCAAGCTTACATTGCAAGTCCTTCATGCTCTGAAGACTCACATAAGGAAGATCGAAGTCCTCCACTTTTTTCACCACTGTGAAAAAAAGAAAAAACACAGAGATATTTGGTGAAATCTATTGAAATAGCCCAACTCCTTTCATGTATCAGTTAGTGCTGGTTAGCAACATGCTTTTAGAGAAGAAAAACAAGAAAGGGTAAAGAAAGTATCTGGGGTAAAGTAAGGTACAAGCTAGTTATCTTCCTCACTTCTCCAAGTCTAACCTACATAGCTCTATTACTTACAGAACATCTCTATTCCTTAGACTACGCTCTTACAGAGCATCTTTCTCTCAATACACTGCTAAGCAGGATGGATTTTAAAGGACATGTGGATGCAAGCTTTCAGGACTGGTGCTTTTGCTTTTCTTGAACAGAACACAAGACAAGAGCAGTATAAGTAATGTACAGCTAGAAAAGCACGACACCCTTTGAAGATCTCTGCTTTCCTGCTCACTTTTTTTCAAAAAATCTAAGTGTAAAGGCCTAAGCTTATAAACATTTATTTTTAAGCCAATATGATGATTCAGAACACTTAAACATGCCTTCTTAAGCATGTGAGCATCTAACCAGTTTTTTGGCAGCAGGCTGTGGGTAATAGGTGGACTTGATGTATTTCTGAGGAATATTGAAGTTCCATGGAAATGTAATCAATTGAAAACTTTTCTGTTCTCCTGCGTATCTGGTTAGATCGCATACAAGGCAAAACTAAGTCCATCTGCAGCTGCAGTATAAGATACATTTGGGACACAGCAACTGCCAGGGATTCTGTGTGCTCCGAGATATCTTTCAGAGCCAGAATGAAGGGGACAGAGGAATTATAAATAAAATAGACACAGTGTAAAGTTCCTACCTCGCTAAGCCTGAATTTATGACTGGACCTTCATCTTAAAACGCTCAGAAGAGCATTAATATTTCCACGCCTGTGAAAAGACTGAAATACTCTAAATGACTGCAATGCCTAACTTTACTCCAGTCAACAGCAAAGAGGGTTCACTGCTCTGATGTGGCCTGAGGCTATCCCAGTCACAGGCCTGGATCCAGTCTAACCCACGTGCCCCCCACATGGGAAACAGGACATCAGCAGACCAATGAGGATGCAAAAGCCTCTTCACGTTTTATAACCATAAAGAGACTCACAACCCTGACTTACAGCTTGTTTAGTAACATCAAGGTTAAACTGAAGTTTCTGTCAGTTAGCAAAAGAAACATGTCATGATATGAAGGAAAGTAAGCTACAAATATTGTTTATTAATATAACAAAAGGGTTTCCTGTCCCATTGTTAAACTCAGCATGTGATCTGTAAATTAAGAACTATGTAGGTATGGCCATCTGATTAAATGTCTACCCAAAATATACACCCAATAGTTCCCACGTGGAAAAGTTGCTACTTGAGTTATAAACTCAAAGGGATGATATTCATATGTGAAAATCTCACGCCTGCACCACACTATCTATTACCATATGTAGTTCCCCACTACCACTCTTTTCAAGGCATATCAGGAGAGGGCTTGAGGAAATTTATGAGTCAAATGAGTCTTTTAGCCTGAGTAGGATCTGTTCAGATTCCTGGTTCAGTCACTGCAGCCAATAACAAACAAATAAACAAACAAACAAAGAAACAAGCAAAACAAAATAATCCAAGGGAGGACTGTTAAGTACCTTGTAAAACTTAACAGGGAGAACTCTGTCATCATGATCCTGAAAGAAAAATAAGCTAAAATACTTTATTAATTCACTTGACATCTTGCACAGTGTTACCTTTGAAAACAGAGAAGGTCAGAATCTTAGCTATCCATTAGAATGAGTAAGGAAGAAATGTTCAATACCTATTAACATAAGTTAATTGTTTTAAAATTTTCCCTTATGACCCATTTAACTGCTCATTTAAATGCAAATATAACCACTCCCATATTCCATCATTTGAATTTTGACAAGTTTCATAAGTTTCAAAGGAATATAAAAATGTAATAGAATAGAATATGTATACTACTGCCATGCCGCATATCCTCTAATGCAAGGCATCTGCCATGTTATTCCAGGTCATTACTACTAAATCCTCAAATCCTATTGTACAGTGAACACTGTGTGCTCTCAGTTAACAGCATTGCTCATGAGCATCACAAATATGTATTTTTACAGGATTTGTGTCTTTTCCAAGCTGTTAGAGTCCTCTTGTTTTTCTAGGAAATATCTACAAGTCCTGCCCCTTTACTGAAAGCACCAGTCTTACAACATTCTGTGTGAAGACTTCTAACAAGAGCAGACTTGAGCTCTGTTGAGCTTTCATTATTGATACTGCAGAAGGAGAAAAAAATCCTATCTGGCTTGACATATGGGTTGTTTTAGTTTGCTGTAGCTCCTCTACAACTTCTCTGAAAGAGGGCAGAAGTAGCATCAACTGAAAATGCAGAAATCTTTTGCAGGACCAGCTGCACAATGGGATAGTGGGGATAGAAAAATCAGGCAGAAGTGAGCGCAGAAACCACTGAATCAGATTGGGGAAATTGTCTTATTCTGATTTATGTTCTGAAAAATCAAAGCATAAGTTAAGGCTCCATGCCCTGGAAGAGCACAGCACCATCAGAACATTCCTAAATTTTGCAGTGGCTGTAATCTCCTGAGTTTGCTCAGAAAAGTGGTGTGGCAACTTTAAGAAAACTCCCTAACCATGAGAATACTTCTCCATAGCTCATCTGACAGATTGTGTAACCTGCTAGAGGATCCATGCTTTGGTCAGAGAGGCTGGATTTTCTTTGTCTAAGGTGGAAGTACTGGTTTTCAGTCTTCTTCCAAAGGGTGCCAATCCCAAAACTTCAAACTCTGTGTCACAGCAACACCATTGTAAATTCACTCATCTCCACAGTTCAGAAGGGTTTTCTCCAGCCGTATCAGGTGTTTTAAAAAGCAGACATGTTTTTGTGCATGGGAAAAAGTAGACATCAAGCTAAATATAGGTTGGAAAGTATTGTTCCAAGTTAAAATTGAAAAACCATATTCATGAGGTTTTCCTTATCCTTGTTAATATCAGGCCTGTTACCGGAGAGGGCAGCAAAGCATAAAAATCCCTTGCCTCACAGTCCATTTAGAAACTAGGTAGGATGGGAAGAAAGTTTCGTAAGTCCAAACACAAAAGAGAAAAATCTGAATATTAGCAGCAACACTTTTTATTCTCTCTGCCACTGTGCAGTCCTCACAAATTATTTCAAGAAATTAGCCACAGACCTTTGATGCGTTATCCCTTGGTAGGGTAATACTAAGCATGTCAGATGGTGTTTCCAAGGAATGGCAGTCACACATCTCAGATTTAGTATGATTTTGATTTGTTTTCTTTTTTGGATCAAAGCAAAAGCTGGTATATGCTGCCTGAGAAGCAGGATACGAGGGAGTGATGGTTGCAAAACTAGCTCCACCACAAAAGAGCAGTGAATATAGTAGCAATTTACAGGAGCTAAATAATTCCCAGAATTCCTATATCATCTTTAAGGCCATAAGAGAAGAAATGGTGTCTGCAGCATTTTAAATGCTATTGTTTCTTTACAATGTCACACAAACATTAAACACATATAAAAGCAACTTAAAACACCACTGTCTGGCTTGGAAATTACCTTGACCCACTGCAAACTAACAAGTTTATCAACCTCAAACCATTGGTATTTTTTAAGTATATTAGAAAATCCTTTCCTTATTCAATGTACCTATGCAAGTCTCCTATCTAAAAATGTCTCCTTACTTCTTCCATCCTATTAGCACTTACTTCTCTCTCCCCAAATCAGAATTCCTATCTCCCTGCCATCCCTAACACTTTTTGCCTTCAGCATCTCCCACCTTACAAGTCTCCTGTTAAGGGGTCTAAGGTCAATTCTGACACTTTGCTCCTCCTGGAAGAACCAGCCCCAACATTGCCTCTGGTGGTGCAAACCCCATGGCAGAACAAAGCCAGCAAAGGGTCACCTTGTTTTACCCAGCTTATGGGCACCGTGCACAGTGTATGTTCTGTGGCCAGACTAAAGCACATTTGCTTGACAGAGGACAGCAAATGCATGTTCAGCTCACTTGTACATATGGCCAGTTGAGAACTACCTTCACAAACTCAGATTTGTTCAAAGGCACAACAGAAACACAGTACACAATTTTATGTACGATGTGAGGAAATTTCAGAATCCCATGACAAAGAGCAGCATTCACCTGGCTGGTGTACGCTCTGCTATTGCTGTCAAGATTAGGAAATATGTGCTCATGCACACATACACGTGCAAATACACAAAATATGCAGAGTCACTGCTGCTCCTCCTCTCCTGGCACAAGAAGAGAACTCCAGCTGAAAGTTTCAAACATGAGCCAGACAGTTGTTTAAACAATATTCGGTTGCTACTGGTTTCCAAGTGTAACTAGTGATTGTTTACTGTGTGTGTTGCAACAGCTGTTACGGACATCCCAGAGCCAGCACTAGAACTGCACCAACACTGCAAAGAAAGTCCCACAGTTTCACAGCAAGCACCAAGGGACACAACACAATAAAGGAGAAGCAGAAAAACAAGAAGCATCAGTTGCACACTCAGTTTTAACAGCAGCGTGCCAGCCGAGACATGAGTGAACACTAGACCATCGTTTCTGACTTCAGTGTTTGAGTACTTTCATCCTCACTGTGCCAAACCAAAGTGGGCTTAATTAAGAATGGGTCCTCATATATTTTCTGATTCTATAATATGCGATGGAAAGCTGAACTTGACATCTAAATGCTATAGAAGTAGAGGCCATGTAACATTAGGAAGAAGTTTGTTATGGAAGACTAGTTATAGTTGAGATTACCATTTAGTACACAGTAAGTTACTAAAATTACTGTTAAAGCTTCTAGATTACAAAAAAATATGCAGAACAGCAAATGGGAAGTTACTGAAGAATTAGAGGAGGGTCACCGATGTTAAGTGGTATAGGTACCTAATGTCTCAGTGTTTGTAGGAATGATGCAGTCACTGTCCTAGGAAATAGAGACTGCAAAGAGAGGAGGTGGATACTCAACTGTATGTGAATATTCAAAGCCACAATCTTGCCAAAAGGAAAAAATGCATCCATGTGCCTATACCTAGGAAAATGTCCAGTGAGAATGTGGTAGGAAAGACCCACCCTGATAAGACCTAAAATCCAATCAAGCTATCATGGAAGCTATCATGCAGCATCAACTGCTACAGCCAAGGTGCTCTCTTGGTGTTAATTATGCTAAAACGATCCTGGTTCATCAAAATTTGAATACACACTCTGCTTTTTGAAGTCTGATTTGGCAGAAAAGCTGATAGCTGGCCTGTAAATGTGTGACTAGCAGTCAATTACTTTACACTATAAACGTCCAGTCCCCTCTCATGCAATCAGGTTCTTCTGGCATAACCCTTCTTGGGGTGTATGTGTGGAGATTCCTCCCTTGGGCTGGGGATGGCCCCCAAGGTTATTCCTCAAGGTTGAGAGAAAGAGATCTCTGCACAAGTGTTGGTGTGGGTGTTACCTTAGATATCTACTTAATAATTATTTCTTTTCACTAGCTTTAATATAACTGCTTCAATAATTGCTTTGTTACAATGCACTATACTACTTCATGCTATATTTTACTCTACTAGTAGATTTTTAGTGTTTATGTTGTGTAGTAAATAATTCTGATTAAGATCTTTTGTCTGTTTACCTGTTTGTTAATTTGTCATAATAAATTCATTTATATAAATATATGTGTTTTGCCATCATTAAAACCTGCAGGACAAAGTTGTTTAATCATACCTTTATGATTCCTTTAAATTTAAACTGTTAATCTGAGGCTAAGATAGGATTCAGCCTCACCTAGACTCCTCTCTGAGAAGGAATTTAGAAAGTGAAGGAGTCCTCAAGGCATTAGCCTTGAGAAGTCCCTGAAGTCCTTCTAGGCATTAGCCTTGAGAAGTCCTTGAAGTCCTTCTAGGGATCCACAAAGATTTAATCTTTATCCCTAAACTAATTTCCTTTTATCCAGGAGATAGGTCTAGTCGTTCCTCTTAATTAAAATAAGTATTACTTTGGTTCTGTGGAGATACAAAAGGCACTTTTTCTTTTGCATAGAGGAACATCTCTGTGCTTACTTGAATACTCTCCTACCTCCCTTAAATGGGAAGGACCAAACACTTCATCACACACTCCTCTGTTGTATATATTTTGTTATGAAACATTTCAAATAGGGTAAAAGTGCATGTGAAGCATGGAACAAACATGGAATGCAAACATCAAAATGAGATAAAGACACAACTTTTTAGTGACTCTCAACAAAGAGCAAGCAGGTCACTGCACAGCCAGTTTACCACCTGGGACTCAGCGGTGCTGAGGGGTGAAGGAGGGTGCAAGGGCTCATGTACCACACTAAGTGCTTCTGGGTGCACGCTGCTAATGATGAAGCTCCCACAGGGAAAGGACACGGAGGACCTTATGCATCTATTTCTTCCAGATCCTCACTGCCACCCCTGCAGCTTTCACAACCTGGAGAGAGGTCACCTTGTCCCCTGTGACAGCCCAGGGTCAAAGACACAGAGATCACTTTACCCTTCTGCCACTTAAAGAGAGTCACATCTCACAGCACACTACCCTACTTGCCACCTCTTTACTCAGCAATTATGAGGGGGAAAAAAAAAAAAGCATGATCCAAAGTTTCAAGCTACATCCAGGCTGTTTGAATTCTGTGCAGAACACTGTGCAGTAGATTAATTTGAGGATCTACAAGAAATGATGTGTTAGAGAAAATAAAATCC